ACTAAGTCTAGGCATGTGTCATCTTCCCTTACATGTAGGTCAGTATTTTCAACTTTATTTATTGAGACATGTTTTTCTTTTAATACAACCAAATAAAGGTGATTAAATCTTACTGAAATATTGTAATGTCACATAAAATGCGATGTGAAAACAGAGGTAAGTAGTCGCCATTCTCTTTGAAATCTGACACATGGTTTATAACGCACTATGCTCGCCATTATGGGAGTTGGCACATAAAATCACCAGTGAGAGGCCAACAGAGATAGCTTTTTAAGCTGGGAATGTATTTGACATTTTGCTCAGGGTTCAAAATATGTTGCATCTACCATAATGTTGAATAATGTGCAACTATATCGGTCTATATCTTTTAAATTTATTCTTTTATTGTTCTTTAAAATAATCTTCACAGCATGTGACTAATTGTTGACATTTACAGCCAGCTTAAGGCAGACTGATAATAGCTGTTGATGTTCATTTGGGTTTTGTAATTGTGCTATCAGTTTAAATATTCTAGCGTCCCAAGCTATGCTATTGAAAGAAAACTGGTCGATCAGCTTCAAAAAAAAGTTTTGATTAACACTGTATTTGTACCTGTTAGGCACAGCCAATATTTGTGACATGTTAAAATTGTAAGAAGCAGTATTGATATCATAGTTGACCGTTTTTTCTTTTGTGTGTGATGTTTAAATTTGATACAATGCAGCAGTTAATAAAATGGTGCAGATATGTTGGTTGAGACTTGGTTAGTGTGTATCAATTAGTTTTGTAAAAAACATAATATTTAACACTAATAGGTATAAGCAGAGGTAATTTTAGCAGTCAAAGCTCATATACAAGGCAGAATTTGATGCATAAAAAACAATTTAAACAAGCTGCTCTCTGATTGGTCTGACTGTTAGGGTTGGTTAGCCAATCATGCACAATCTTGTAAGTAGCTTCAGATTAACCCCATTCTAGGCCCATGCAAGTTGAAAACCCTACGTCTTGGCAACCCGTCCTATATATGTATATAGGATAGCTAGCTCATTATCTTGCACTACCCGATTTAAATGTCGAGTGTAGTGTATTTAGTTTGGTCCACATCTTGCATAAATGATTATTGTTCATAGAACCTGAATACCGATGAGAGACGGAAGGGCGTACAAATAACCTACTGGAACATGTAGATGAAAAAAGGTAGCCTATAGTGTATGCCTCGGCTTACTTTCACCAGGTATATAATGTATTATAGGTACATCTATGGCCTAGAGATACTGATAAAAATATTGAGTTATAGACTTGGGTCATATAAATGACAACACTACTGTCTTACAAAACAGGAAAAATGGCTAAATTATCCTAGCTTGATCATTAAACATACAGATGGTATATATACATATTGTGTTCACACATGCCGGGAAATGGGAGCTGTAGGAGGGCGTTGTTCAACTCTGTGTTGAGACTAGCCCGTTGACCGTTGAGGTAAACTAACCCACACCAAGGCCAGGTTAATCTGTTCACACACTGGGTTGAAATAAACCTGGGGTTGAGCTCAGCATGATGCTACGTAGATGTGTGAGCACAGACTATACCATCTGATTGGATCGCCAAGTTTGTTGCGTGTTATGTAATAGATCTAGGGGCTGTAATGAAGGCTTATAAATTATGTGGAATAGCTGAGGATGATTGTGTAGTGTCACAGTGTGTGGTGGAATGGCTGGGTTGATTGTGGGGTGTCACAGTGGGTGGTGGAATGGCTGGGTTGATTGTGGTGTGTCACAGTGGGTGGTGGAATGGCTGGGTTGATTGTGGGGTGTCACAGTGGGTGGTGGAATGGCTGGGTTGATTGTGGGGTG